TTGTGTCTCAGAATATTATTTAAGGTTATAAGCAGACTATGTTTTAATGCAGGAAAAAATGGCTATCCTAAAAACATTTACTACAGAACATATACCTTGGCCAATGGATCACAATGAAAGGCTACACAATAATAAAATTGAACAGCATGTTAAATGTGTTTGGCAGGCATTCGGCAATCTAAGCATAATTTTCAAGAACAAGCTCCTCCTATCCCTGAAGAAAAGAGTTTTTGACCAGTGTGCTATCTGTTCCAGAAATGGGTTTCAGCCGGTACACAATTTAACGTGTCTTCCTATACCCATTCTTCCGGAGCCCCATACCGGAATGCTCCCTCCCCTGGCTTGCCCCCTTGCTCGCTCCCCCCGCCCGCCCAGTCACTGCTCTTTCGCTTGCTCACTCCATCTGTCCGCACCAGGCTTGCCCCACCCACGGACTTCCTTTGCCGGAGCGGAGGATTGGAAGAAGCCCATGTGGCTCACGCTCCTTCGCTTTGATAGCTGCCTGGTTTCCAATGGGAGGGGGGGAATCCATGTTTTTCCTCCCTCTGCATGGATTCCCCCCCCAATTGGAAACAAGGCGGCTGTCAAAGAGAAGGGTGCGCACACCACGTGGGCTTTTCTAACAGCCAATCTCCCCTCTTGTTCGTTCTTTGGCTGTTGGAAAAGCTCAGGACTGTATTGGCTGAAAACCTGCAGAAGAGGCCTTCATCCTGCAGTGGATACAAAATGGCTAAAATGATGATGAATGATGGTATTCTACTGAAGATTTCTTCTAAAGATTTCTTGTTTTCTTCTTAGTCACAAATGTATTGGATTCTTGCTGATTCTTGGCATGTAGAAGATGGAATACTCTTATCTAATTTTGAACATTGTGGACAATCCATTCAGTTCATTCTTCCATGCCAGCACTGAATAGAAATAAGAATGAAGCATCACACATTTAAAATATACTGCATTGTTCATTACAAAATGACAAACTCAATAAAATCCATAAGAACAAGAAATAAAATGTATCTTGAAGTTATTATAAGCCATTTTTAATTACTGAGGTCAGTTTCTTGTATATGTTTAAATAAAACTCAAAATGATAGTTAGTCATAAAATATGCTTCAAAAATTTATTAACATGTATATATTTTAAACAAATGGAATGTTACAGCCTAGATCAGTAAAACAGAAACCATGATGGTATATTTCCAGACCAAGTACAAGATGTACCTTTAAAAAATTCTCAAGTAATTTTTACCAATCATATAGCTCATTTTAAAAAATTACAAACATATTTCACATTCAATGTTACTAATTACATTCTTTTATCAACAGAATAATGAAAGAAGCCTTCTTGCTTATTGTCATCACCAAATATTATAACGTTTTTCATTAAAATGTTCATCCACCAAGTTTCATTTCTCATTTTATGGAAATTGTTAATTTGAACTGCTGATTTTCAATGGGTTTTTTCAAGCATCCAAATAGTTCCAGGGAGGATTAAAAAGTTCATATTCTTCATCAATCTAGTTATTCCTTGATTATCCTCTCTCATTTAAAAGTTAGTTTGACAATTTAGTTTCTTCAAACGTATATTATATCTCTGTATTATTTCTCAAATTATTCCTTTTTAAACCAAAACCATATTTTAATTTTATTTTGAGGAGGACCTATATAAGTTTCAAAAAAATATTGGAAGCTTTTTAGGAGTTTCACAATGATCATAAAGATAAAAAGACAACTTTCCTATTTTAAAGCTTGCTACTGTTATAAATCCTTGCTTACAATATATATTATCATTTAAGATCTGGCTATATCAGACATACCAGATACGCATTATGCTATACTGAAATTTGTTTAACAATGTTTTTAAATTAAATATTTGGCTGGTCTCAAACATTACAATAATTCATGATAATTCAAATCATGATGTCTGAATTCACATAGCATGCAAATCCCAAACCAAAGAAAGCATGCTGATTTAGTAGAATAAAAACCACTTTCAGCTATACCAAAATCGTACAATGTGGTGGCCAATAGTTCACATGAAGGACACATTCCCAAATTCTCCACAACCCAGTGGCTCATTGGCAAGCAATAAATAAACAAGGTCAACATGGAAAAAGGTTATCTGAAAATCAGATCTGGAAACCACAGAATATGTAATTTCTCCAAAATCACCTTTGCTGTTTGGGTAAACAATTTGTTGAGATTATTGCCAATATTTAAGAGTCAAGGTGTCAAAATATGGAAGTTTTGAATCAGGATGTAAACTGAACAACCAACTATTGATTGGCATTTTTAGATAAATTAATCTATGAAATCAATTAAAATGTTCTTAATCTCTGCCTTATTAACACCTCAATATAATTGCATTTAGGATATTGGAGGCAATCCATGATATTCTACAATTTAATAAACAGTTCACAACTAAATAGAATAGTTTAAATTTTTTATTCTTTATGACATTCTAGTTTCAAAATTAAGCAAAGCTAACTTGCTGCACCAATTAATTAATGCCTCATTAAAGTTTCCACTGATCAATATTTTAGTTGATAAAGTAATTAAAATTCTATCGTCTCGACTTTCCAGATTTAAAATAATCATGCTGAAGCAATGCAAGCCCTCTGATAGCTTAAAAAAAACCAGGGCTGTTAACATCTGCAAACAATTATTGCACAGTATTAATGTTACCTCAGGGAATAACCTCTGTTGTACATCTTGATGTGCCAATTTTTCAAATTTACACACCAGGAGCCTAAATAAATACTGCTATTGCTTTGCATTTGTTCATAACAACCTTTCCGAACTTTATGGCTCCAAGAGTGCTGGAACAACTATCATTGGATAGTGTTTGAGATTTAGTGTTGCTCTCCAGATGTGATAGAAGTATATCAGGTTGAAGTAGAAGTTTAACTTTCAATACAAAGGCATTAACGAGCTTCCATGGAGATTTCAGTCTCCTTCCACATCATCATGCAGAGAAAAGAAAGCAGGCTAGCTCATGTATATCTCAACCAGAAAACAGTAAAATAACATAACCCAGTTTTGGAATAATGTTGCTGGTGCTGCCCTCTTATGGTTTTGCTTCTAACAGCTTCTGGACCTTTGAACTATACCCTTCAATGTACTGTCTATGAAGATTCTCCATTATCCAGGTTATGGTTGTGTCAAAGATGCTTTTTCCAAAAGGCAACTGAACTTTTTTTTTCCCTTTTGAAAATGTTTTGCTTCTGAAGAGGCTTCTTGGATGAGAAGTGAAATGTTTTCAAAGGAAAAACCATGAAAGTCCAGTTGCCTTTTGGAAAAAGCACCTTTGCAGGAAAAGGAGCTGGCAGATATGTTTTCTGGTCCTCAAGTCTTACCAAGAATGTATGTGTGTACATGTTTCTATTTTAATGAATAGATGGGTAGTGTGTGAAGAAGTGATAACGAAAGGAAAGAGGAAACAATAAAAGTAATGTCTACCACTTGGAATTTGGCATCAACTCAGCCAGATGTGGCTTCATGTGGTTTTATCCTAAGCCTGTAATCTCAAATTCATTTTATTAGTGAATTAATTTAGAACAATGCCTTCTGACTTTTTAAGTCTAGTGAGCAGAGCAGTATATCTACTACAAACTCTTAACTTTCACATTTCTTTGTAGGATTTGTTCAAAAAACCAGAATATCTGAGGAAGACTACCCCTACCAGATTTTAGAAAGTAGTGGCAATTCAAATAACTGCCAAACTCTTTCCCCCCATTGTTTTGAGGACCAGGCTCAACTTGAGAGTTGCATAAAGAAAAAAGGTGCCATAAAGATTTGAATCTTGATCCCATTTGAGGATTTTATTTTAATACTTTGCATATTGAAGAGATTGAGACCTTTGGACTTGCAAGATTCTACTGTATTCAACAGGTAAGTTTCTCTCTCCTTAAAAGACAGTAAATTTGATTTTGAAGGTTTTAAAAATAATATTTTGGACTATGCACCAAAAGTGTACTTAATATAAGAGCGTGGAAAATTAGTAATGCATTAAGGGGTCAAAGGTATTTGGAATTATAGTTTTAAATTATTTAGAAGATACTTTGTCATGAGAAAATGGGGTTGTTTTCAGAGGCTTTTTTAAAAAATAAGGAAAGCTTGGAGGCTGGACACTAAGGACAATGGAGCAGAAATCCTTGATAGAGCATTTGAATTTTGTTTTCCTTATCTAAGAGATGACCTATGGAGGCAGAGAGATTATGTTTCATTTAAAAGTGGTGATAAGCTATTTTTTTTTTTTAACCTGCTGGGATGAAAGGGGAAGTTACTTCCCCCCCCTCTTTCCTTTTTCCCCATTTCTGTTTTTCAACCCCCCCTTCTTTTTTGTACCTCTTTGTACTTTTTTAGTATGTATCAACTTCTATCTTTTACATGTAAAATTCTTAATAAAATTATTTGAAACAAGTAAAATGAAGGGTTGAGATAATTACGCTAGAAAAAATATTTAGTTGAAAAAGCTAATTTTGATTCTTATTCTCAAAAGTATTTTGTATCCAAAACTTTGTTTTACTTCTAGTTACAGTCCTTTGTACTTGGCTCTGACTGATCTCAGTATTTTGCACCTGGTTCTTAAAAGTTGATCTAATTAAAAAAAAAATTTAACTCTCATAATTATGAAGTCTTTTATCTCCACACTACACAGCTAATATTTTGTTTTAATTACAGTTGTCTTAGATGTTCTGAATAAAAGAACATGGGGGGTGGTTATACAAATTGAAACAAACTCTTTAGAGGAAAACCAGTGAATGGGAAAAGGCTCAGGTTCTGGTGACTTGTCACTCATATTTTCTTTTCCTGTAAATGCCTCTTCCTGAATCTTTTTTTTTTTTTGCACATTGCAAGCAAATGTGGTTTCTGAATTTCATGCTTGCTGAACATCAACTTCTGACCACTATGTAATATTGAACCAGAAAAGGAAAATACAGTATTTGTTCTCTTTCTGAAGAAGGTAAAGTTTGCTGGCTATAGAATTTAATACACTGCAAAAGACATTATTCATGAATTTAATATTTGGTCTAAAATTTTAACAGTTGTGAATGTACAACAATGTACTAAATATTTCTATATGCATATGAATTATGCACAATGTAACAGCAGTAGTTAATAACAATAATAGTCAGCAGAAAATTGTAAAATGATCTTAGGGGAACAGAATCCATAAATATAATGAAATAATCTGATACATATCTTATTTTTCTTATTTTAAGTTTCATGTTAAGTTTCCATCACCTTTATTAAATACTTTTTCATGTTATCAAACTTTACAAGATACTTTAATTGCTTCCAAAAACATCCTCAAATATATTAACAACTCATAATTTTACTTGATGAGCTTCTTCTCTACCCTATCAGAGAAAGCCCATTTTTACAATTTATAAGACACAATTGTGTAGCAAAGTATTACAGATTCAAGAATACAGGCAATGTTGTTAATCCTAAACCCAGAAAATATAAAGCCTGTTTTTATCAGACAAGCAGCACATATGTCTGGGTGTAGGATTACAGCTACTATATCAACGACTTCGTTGCAAATTACTATAATCTGCTATGACCAGCCATTGAGATACAGTAATCTTAATATAAAAGTTTTTAAAAGGCCAGATGTTATCCCAATGAAACATTCATCTTGCCTATCTTTGTGGCCACTGAGGAAAAATGGCTTGGTAAATGTGATAGTATAAGAAAATAACTACCTGAAACATTAAAAATATAATACCCGTTAAATTAGATCAACTGGCAGCATTTTGAAAGATGTTATTTGCATGTCCCTATAAGGTTTTTTTTAAAAAAAATATTGCATAGCTGCTAGATTATGAATTTTCAAAATTTCTGCACTGAGATTTACAAGCAGAAAAAAATTATTATGCAGAAATGAGAAGAGATTATGGATTTCAATAACTCTAATTGGATCATAAATATTAATTCAGAATTAGCTTTGATTGCATTTGTTCTTTGGACTAAACTGTGACAAAGCTTTACTTATAAAATTTGCAAAGATTCAAAGAAAAAACATTGCATTATTTTCCATAAAAAGTGTGAACAACATATTGAAGAATCTCTGTATCTCATAGTTTGTCTTCTTTACTGTGATAAAAAGGAATAGGTGATTCCAACTCTAAAATGGCATCTTCCTTGTATAATGTTTCAGACTGACGTAGAGCATTCAGCTTCTGTTCAAGGAATTACGTCAAAAATTATGTTTTTGTATACTGATTTGAAAAAAACTGAAAGTTAACTTTGGTCTGTAAATATAAAATATCTATGAAGTTTGTGGGATAGGATTTTTTCAGGATGTGCAGCATTTTCACAATCCCTATGTTGTTTTTACATGAGCTTTTGGTACACTGAGGATCCTGCTTTGCATCATGTCCCATGCTTGTTCCATCTTCTTCTTTCCCACTCCAAAACGAACATAAATTCACTTTCAGATTAACTTCTAATGATGGAACTTGACATCTATTACTTCTGATGAGCAGTGTAAGAAACTACAAAAAATTTACAAAAATACAATTATATTTCTTGAGAGTAAAATACATTTTCTAAATCACAGCAGTATCAATCAGAGCATCTGATATTTAGGTATTTAACATAATTATAATTAATTCTCTTGAACGTATTCTTTAATATAAATAGTTTTGAGAAATAATTATTTTCACTTTAGCATATGGCTAATATCTTTGAACACAGCTCCTTTATTTGTATGTGATCTATTCCCAAAGGCTCTGAATTAGACAGATAACAATCTAAATCAGTATAAGATAGCTCTACATGTAATATAAAGAAAATAAAGTTAACCCACCTTTCCTCAAACATGTTCTACTCCAATGTTAAATGAAATAACTAGATCTTTATTGTGCTTCTGAAGCCAAGTAGAAAAGAGCAAACCTAGTCTCCATTGAAAGGAAATTCCTAAGCATGAAGGTTAAAATAGGAAATGTCTACTTCTGAATTAATTATGGCTTTTTGCATTATAAATACTGGAACTCTATGGAGATATGTGTTCAAGGTGCTTCAAGGTGGAATAGAAAGTTCTAGTAATTTGGTTGTTACAACCCTGTGAAGTACATTTGTTTATTTAGTCAAACTTATGGTTGTCTTAATTGCAAATGTAACCTTTGGCTCAGTAAAAGAAACTGACTGACCGAATATAACTCTATACATTTAGATATCTATCATTTCTACATTTAAGGGTAGATAATTCTAATACTGGGAAAGATTGAGGGCAAAAGAAAGAGACTACAGAGAATAAAGTGGCTGGATGGAGTCACTGAAGCTGTAGGCACGAGCTTAAATGGACTCCAGAGGACGGTAGAGGACAAGAAGGCCTGGAGGAATATTGTCCATGGGGTAGTGATGGGTCAGACATGACTTCACATCTAACAACAACAACAAATTCTACCAAAACTAGGTAAAGAACAGGCATTAGTTACAGATAATCTGCCATATATTAGTTAGGAGTGCCATCGTATTTTTTTTAAATACACCACTAATACAATATTAGAATGTAGTAATAATACAAAATTTCTGTCAACTTGTAAAAAGTTTCCATGACTATTATCAAGTTGACATAAAAAAGGGAGGAGAATTCCATGCATACCTTTGGCTAGAGTCAGGTTTCATATTTCTATAGCTGGTGTAGAAGGACATGCTATCTCATTTGGCTAAGGGAAAAGTCTTCACCAAGCTAGACCTCATAGAATCATACTACCGAGTACATATCAGAGAGGGAGATGAGTGGAAAACAGCATTCAACTGCCCCCTAGGGAGCTTTCAATTCAAAGTGATACCTTTTGGACTGCAGGGCCCCCCAGCACTATTCATGCAGTTAATAAACAAGGTGCTGCATGAGCACCTCTACAAGGGGGTCCTCATCTACCTGGTTGACATCCTCATCTACACTGTCACCATGGATGACCACATAGCCCTGGTCCGTCAAGTACTGGAAAAACTTCTGGCAGTCAACCTGTACGTCAAGGTATCAAAATGCGAATTCCACCGTGCACGATTAGACTACCTGGGTTACCGAGTGTCAAATGAGGGAATAGAGATGGACCCAGCCAAAGTACAAGCCGTTGTAGGCTGGCAACCCTTTCGCACCCGCAGACAGCTATAAAGCTTTAGGGTTTGCGAACTTCTACAGGCAATTCATCCCCTCCTTTGTGAAGATTGCTAAACCCCTGACAGACCTCTTGAAGACAGGGAGCCCAGGAATGAAACCTCATCTGGGAAAACCCCTACTGTGGGACCTAACCTGCCAAGAGGCATTTGAAACATTAAAAGAAACATTTGCAAAGGAGCCAGTGCTGAAGCTTCCTGACCCCGAGCAACGCTTTGTGATCCAGGCAGACACCAGCGACATGGCACTGGGAGCGGTGCTACTCCAAAAAAACAACCAAGTAAACTTACAACCCTGTGCCTACACCTCCCGCAAGCTCAGACACAGAGACACGATGGGCCACATGGGAAAAGGAGGATTTCGCAGTGAGATGGGCACCGCTAACCTGGAGACACCTGTTGGAACAGGGCCAGAAACCATTCAAAGTCTGGACTGACCACAAAAATCTGGAGGTGCTTAGGACCCCATGGAAACTATCACCCAAACAAGTTCAATGGGCTCAATACTTCAACTGTTTTGATTTTGTTTTAAAGAACATCTCAGGGGGGAGGAACTTTCTAGTAGACGCCCTCTCCTGCATGCCTCAGTACAAATGGGAATGGGAGCAGGTAGTGGATGCCATCATTACCTCTACTCAAACATCTGCCTAAGTGACCACCAGGTGGCAACACCATGATTGGCAAGACCAACCCGCAAGCGACTACCCACGAGACTCAAAACCGAACTGCTAGCAGACCTCTGGTTCTGAAACAACCAACGTATCTTGACAAAAAGACATGACCTCGCATGGAAGGGGATGAAACTCTATGTCCCAGAATCCCTATGCACCTTAATTCTCCAGAGGAGCCACAATGCCAAACCGGCAGGCCACTTTGAGTTACTAAAGAGTTTACACTTAGCCCGGAGACAATTCTGGTGGCCTGGCATAAAGAAAGATGTGGATAGTTACGTGAAAAGTTGCACCATCTACCCCACAATGAAGAGACGATCGGGAAACCCCCCTGGACTGCTGCTAACAGTAGCAGAGCCAACAAGGCCGTGGGAGGAGATCGCAATGGATTTTATAGTAGAGTTGCCGAAAAGTGGGGGAAACATGGTGATTTGGACCGTAATAGAACTGTTCTCCAAACAGGCACATTGCATACCCTGCAGTGGACTACCCTCAGCTCACAAGCTGGCTAAACTGTTAATGAAGCATATCTAGTGACTGCATGGAGTACCTCGAAGAATTATTTTAGACAGAGGGGTCCAGTTCATGGCTAAGTTCTGGAGGGAGTTCCTGCAGTCCATTGGGTCATCTCAGGGTCTTAGTTCAGCTTTTCATTAGAGCACGAATGGAGCAGCAGAGAGACTGAATGCCATGGTAGAGCAGTACCTGAGGTGCTAGGTAAACTATCAGCAGTCCAATTGGGCAGACCTTTTATCTTTTGCTGAGGTATAATAATGCTGTTCACAGTAGCACAGGAGTCACGCCTTTCAAAATATTGAGTGGTATGGACTTCGTTCCAATGCCCGAGTATCCAACGGATCCCCCCTCCTGAGTCAGCTTGACTGATTGGATGTCGATGCTGAAAGCAACCTGGGGAAATGTCAAAAAAGCACTGGCTAAAGCGGCACAAACCTATAAGAAACAGGCAGATAAATACTGGGCTCTGCAAC